TGGAGGTGATGCCAGAATAATGGGAACAAACTGTTGCTTTGATTAGCTGATTAGTAAATCAGAATTGAAGTTCATTTAGCCTTTAAAGGGACCATAGCATGGAAAATCCACTTTTTGGAGCTTTTTACAAATATTATGTTGTTATTCCCTCATGAACAATACCCCAAACTCGTTTTTGGTCGCATTCATGCATTTTCCTGTCTCAGCTGCAAGTTTTCAGATTCTGAGGAAAGACCTGCAGACACGAGGATGGAAAATATGTGTTGTCAGGTTTTTTCCTCCCCATAATTAACCCTCTGGAGGCAGGCGTTGCAACAGTTAAACCCTACCTACCTGGTTACTCCACATACGTATTTCATGAGCATTTTTGAACTCAGAAGTACCCCTGAAGGAGTTGTTCATCCTTTTATCAAAATTAATTTTAAGCCTGAGAGGGTAAAGATAGTCTTGGATCTGAAATCCACCTTCCCTGGAAGTATAGGCCACTAATGCCCACTTTCTCTGAGTCTCTTCCACCTCGTACCGGTTCGAATCCTGGTCTCAGCAGAAATGTATTTCCTTCTTTATTACATACATTTGCCAGTATTAAAACCATTTATTAGTAGACTCTTTAAAATCTAACCACTAGCCTTTTTTCTTTATTTGGCCCACTGAAGCCCATGTGAGTCCATGTGAGGTGAGCAGAGTAGATCATTGGGACTTCTGAGCATTGCATCTAAAATGCTGCTTGGAAATGACCAAATTCGGAGATTTTTAGAGGCACAAAATATTTTGCAGAAAATTATCATCCATCCATCCATTTTCTGAACCCACTTGTTCATGCAGGGTTGGGGGGGTCAGCAGTCAACGGGCAAACAGAAAATAATCAATAAAACTAAAATATAAATAAATGAAATCTGCTTAAGAAGAGGATTAAGTATTAAAAAAATACTAAAAAGTATAGAAAATATAAAATTGGGAAAAGTAAAAAGTTGTGATAAAAATGTGAGGAAAGGGAAAACGAATACGAAAGTAATCAGTGGATCCCGGGTAAGCCTCAATTTCTAGAAAGAGCTGAATGAGGAGAAGGTAGTGATGAAAGCTGGCTAAATAAATTACTGCCGGCATCAGGAGTCGAACCGGCGTCAGCTCATGGCAAAACAAGATGAAAAGCACATTAACCACTAGGCTACCAAGCCCAATACAACAATTGAATGGCCTAAGATGCTGCTGTTGTATGCAGATTTTATAAGAACGGGCGTGGGTGGGGCACCAGCGCTGTTTCCAAGAACGCTTTCTTCTCATTTTTTGCTTCATGGTGGCCCACGATCCCTTGTGGGTTACGTAATGAATGGGTGGAGCTCAGACCGCTGGAGGTGGGCTTGACTGAAACAGACCGATCGTTTTCGGGTACAAATTCAGGCTGATGAAAATAACTAGAATTTAAGATAAAACGACATCTGAGTGGTGCCAACTGTAAGATTTTCTCATATGTTGTGCCTCACTTTGCTCTCAGAGTGTAAAATAGCATGATATGGAGCCTTTAAGCTGCCCAAATCTGTTTTTGATTACAATTGTTCTTAAAATTTCATTGGACTCTTTTCAGTTCCTCATTTGACAAGTGAGGTAAGAATATTGTAATTGTTCAATATTGGTTAATCATCAACTTTGTAAGAATTTAAGCAGAGAAAAAAAAATTCACAAACTGAGTGACTGAGTCCCAAACAGCCGTTAATGTTTTGATCAAACGTTCAGAAAATAAATGTTAAAATCAAATATTAAATCTAAATTACCTTGTCTGAATCCTTAAAGCAAAGGTTGGACACACACAGACACACACTCACACACACAGGGCTGAACAGCTTGGCAGGCGCAGCGGCCATCTGTGTTGAATATACGTTTAAGTGACAGTTTAACTCCGTCTGCCTCACTGTGCTAATCTGTCACGTTTGTATGTTTCGTGATCCTGGCGTCATCTGAACTTCACAATCTGTTTGTTTAGAGAAAAAAAAGCTACCTGTAAACCTGCTGGAGGAGCTACCTGACAGACTGCATATTAATTATCACTTGTTTCTTATATAATTAAGTACATTTTATTTATATAGCTCTTATCACAGATTAAGAATTACAAAGTGCTTCATGTGGTTTAAAAAATAAAACATAATGATCTCAAAACAGAAACAGATTAACATCAGAAAAAAATAGTCAGAAAATTATAAAATTTCGGTAACACTTTAGTTTAGGGAACACAAATTACCCATTAATTAGCTGCCAATTAATATGCTTATTAGATTGGCACTTATTAACAATGCTGTAATTCTAACATTAGCAGGCCATACGTTAAGAGTTTTATCTAAATAAGCCATTCATAATGGTTTGTTGTTGATTAACGCACATGCTAATTAGCTCAAATCAATATAGCTTTTAAAGAAGTAATTCATGAATTACTTCTTTAAAAGCTACATACACCCCTTGAATTCAAGGGGAATAGTTATTCTGCATTAATAATCAAAAACATTACTTTCTGGTATTATGTAAATAAACACCAAACTCCACATGTTAATAGAGCCTAAACAACAATCAATTAACCACTTGTAAGCAAGAATATGTTCTCCATTCTAAAGTCAGATTTTGTTCATACCTACTTAGTAGTTTAGTATTAATTAACCACTTAAAGGCAAGAATATGTTCCCCTTGAATTACTTGTTACACATTGATTTGAGCTAATTAGCACGTGCGTAAATCAGCAACAAACCATTTACTTACAGTTAACAAACTATTATGAATGGCTTATTTAGATAAAACTCTTAACTTATAGCCTGCTAATAGCAGAATTACAGCACTGGTAATAAGCACCTTAGTTCACTAATATGAATATTAATTGGCAGCTAATTAATGGTTAATTTGTGTTCCCTAAACTAAAGTGTTACCAAAACTTCATAAAACAAATGAAAGATGATTACAAATAAAAAAATATACACATGTAAAAAATAATGCCTGGTTGAAACATGAAAGAATATTATTTAAATTGTCAAATGTCTTACTTGAAATAAAAACATAGAAGTTAAAAACAAAATAAAATTCAAAACATTAACATGTTTATGTCAAAAACTTTTTTATTGAGTTGTTTTATTATGAAAATGCTACAGGAAGTACATTTTAGCACCGGTATTTAAAACTGAAATGAAACAATTTTTTCAATTTGAGTGAAATTTTTTCACGTAAATCAGTTTCAATCTATGAGTTATTAAGGGTGTTACTAGGCGCATGACAGGTGTCCGATGAGCCACCAGCGCTAGCAGCTAGCCCCCGTTTGCTAACAGTAGTTTCTGGTTAATAGTGCCCGCCAGCCTCCGTTCGCTTTGGTTAGCTCAGTTAGCTACATTGGCGCAGAGTTTGATGGGTGTCCGTCCTCTCCCTCACACTCAAAGCCCCCACTCTCATCTCCATTTTTGTATTTTCTGGGAGTGACAAGATGGCGGTGGTGGAAACCGCCCACTGGGCTTCAATTCAGCTCCTCACTTACTTTGTTTTTTTGTGTGCTGATCTGAAATATTTTGTTGACCAAAAAAAAAAAAGAACAAAAATTCCGCATTCAGATTTTGTTTTGTAACTCCGCACTTGGAGAATAGATTTGGGAATTTTCGGACCCTCTGGAAAACATACTGATAAATGCAGGACTGCCATTTGAACGTGAAACTTCATCATCTTCTGTCATCATCTACGTGGCTGTTAGCAGACATGTTGATGTGTTTATCGCTGAGCTGGGTGTTGGCGTGTGTCTGTGCTGCGCCCAGGCGTGGTAGCGGATGGCCTGGTCCATTTCTCTGGTTCTAAAGGAAACGGAGTTTAAGTTCATCGGAGGTTCATAAAACTTCCGGAGGTTTTGTTATGTGAACTTCTGCTTTTTAAAAGCTGAGCCGTCAGAGCTGCAGTTGGTTTTCTCTCTCTTTTGTATTGGTCTTCTACTTCAGTCCATTCTAATCCTGCCTTCAGTAAAACCCTACAGGTGTCTTTATGAGCAAGTTCCATAGATCATCTCAGGTTATGAGATATCCTACTTTTTACAACAGTGGAAGACTTTGGAAAAACAAAACGAATTTAAGAGTGAGGAGTTTGGAGTTTAAACTCATGTTGGTATACTTTCAGTAAGTATTTTCAATTCAATCTCAATTCATCCAAATCACAACAAGAGTCATCTCAAAGTACTAAGTAAACAATCCAACTGAACCTACTTATATGCATTAAGTTCAGTTCATAATGCCAATTAGTTAAACATTTTAAGAAAACCCAGCAGGTTGCATTGAGTCACTGACTCGTGCCAGAGTCTTTGCAGCAATCCTCATACTAAGCAAGCATGCAGCGACAGTGGAGAGGAAAACTCCCTTTTAACAGAAGAAACCTCCAGAGGATCTTAGATCAGAATGAGCAGCTATCTGTCACGACTCACTGGGGATTTGAGAAGAGAGATCACACACACACACACACACACACACACACACACACACACACACACACACACACACACACACACACACACACACACACACACACACACACACACACACACACACATGGCTGGATCCATTGCAATTTCTTTGTAGATTCTATTTCTTAACAAAATAAAATGTATCGTCCTTATCTGAGTGAATCTGTGATTAATTGAGCAAGTGAACTATTGAACTAGAAGGTAAAATACCAAAATACAGTAAAGTTCAAAATCAGAAAATAAAATGTAAAGTTTAAGTCCCTTAATCTTCATCACACACTATACATTTCTGCATGTGACCTATCCCTGTGGGGAGCGGTGAGCTGCATCTGTGGCTGTGCACGGGAGCTATCTGGTGGTTTAACCCCCCGATCCAACCCCTTAAAGCTGAGTGTTAAGAAGGGAGACATTGGTCACATTGTTAAAGGGTTTGGAATGACCCGACCGGGCTTTGAACTCCGATCTCCAAGAAATAATCGTGTTTGACTTCCAATATCTTATAATTATAAAATGCTAGTAGAAATCCCATAGTATGGAGTCATTGCTACATTTATATATTTATTTTTTTATGTAGATTTTTTTTAGGACAAGATTATTGTATAAAATATAATTTTACTTTAATATTCCATTTATCCTGCGATGGACTGGCTCTTTGTCCAGGGTGTACCCCGCCTGATTGCCCATTGACCGCTGGAGATAGGCACCAGCCCCCCGCGACCCTACGTGGACAAGCGGGTTCAGACTGGTCCAAGATGAATGGATTCCATTTATCTAACCAATGAATATTATCATTTTTGACCCTTTTTACCCAGCGAGGAAAATTAAAATTTTAATCTTTTCAACTTTGACCTGCTTTTAACAATATTTTATATTTTAACTAAACCAAAATGTCTAGGGGGAATAAAAGTTCACAAACACGCAGAAAAAAGCTCAGATCTCAGGATTTAGCGGACATAAAGTTCAAATAACTAAAGTCCCAATACCAAACCCTGTGGTATACCATCCATAAGATTTAATTTTATTATTTCTATATAAATTGACTTAAATGTTGTGTCTCACTGCTCTACTTATAGAGTTCCAATTTCTTCTAAAGTATATATTTTTTATTCTCATGTTTTGTAGCTTGTTAGTTTTAAAACAAAATCCTTAAGAAACATCCAGTTATTTTTACAGTATTTGTAAAATGATTCTTTACTGATGATAATCTCCTGTTTATAAGACAAAACACATCTAGCAACCCTGACCTTCTCCCACGTCAGAAGTTTTCTAAAACAGAGTCAACCTGCAGCCTTTTCCCTCCTTGGTTGTAACTTTTCTGACCACAAGAGGATTTATTAATCCAGACAAGTTGGTGATTTTAGTTCAAATTACTTTTTCCTGTCTCTACGGTTGATGAATATTCTGGAATTGGAACAAAAAGGAAAGGTGTGTGTGTGTGTGTGTTTGTTTTGATTTCCAGTGGAAACGTGTGATGTGAATTATGTGAATGAGTGAGCAGTGGGCGAGGGGAGGCGCTTGTGGCGTGTACATGACACACATTCCTTTCACTAGGCTCTTGTGAATGTTTGCTACATGCCTGTGTTGACATGCTTGTGTGTGTGTGTGTGTGTGTGTGTGTGTGTGTGTGTGTGTGTGTGTGAGAGAGAGAGAGAGAGAGAGTTTGCGTGAGGATATTGGCCGTGTCACCTCAGATTAGAGCCCGTTGCAGCGCTGGAGATGATGATGATGATGATGGTGGAGGAGGAGGAGAGTAACCCCTCTCCTCCACCGCCGACTGAGCCACAGTCATTAACCAGGGGGAAAAGAATCTTGTCTCCATGGCAACCGTGGCCACGCTGCCAAGGCGACCACAAAGGGAAGAAAAGGAGGACGTGGGAGGGGAAAAGATGTGGAAGAGGAGGAAAAAGGAGGAAGAGGTGGAGGAAATTTGTAACAAGAAGGGTGGTGGGTGTCTGTGGGGTTTCTTAGACAGAAAAATTATCAGATGATCAAGTTCGTTCTGCTTGACGGACACGCACGCACGCACGCACGCACGCACGCACACACACACACACACACACACACACACACACACACGACAATACCATTCAGCAGCAGATACCGATCAAGCACCTCCTCCATTTGTCAGAGAAACTCTGGAATTGTGACGTCAGTGGGAATTTTGTCCGTAGGATGGTGGTGGACTTGATGAAAATCTTGTATCTGTAAAAAAACAAACAGGATTAATCTAAAACTGATAATAATTATTTGAAGTGAGAGGAATGAAAGCTTAAATAAGGGTTTTCAATGTATACTCCATACAGCTCATAAGGCATTAAAATTTCATAAACAAGGCACAGAATTTTGACATTTAGAACCTTCTGGGATTTAACAGTGGTAAAAGAAGGTATTTTTGGGGAGCGGGGACCAAATTGTATGTTTCAAAACCCCAAAGTGGGGTCTGGAGATGAAGATCAGAAGACCAAATTATTTTTAAAAATGCTTAATTTACCTATAAGTGTTGAAAAGAGATGAAACTTGTCATTGGCCAAAGCATCGTCAGCTTTTTAGAGTTGGATTAGGGATCCTTTTTTAAAAACCTTGGTCTCGGACAAGCTGAGCCTCAAGTTCTGCCTTGACGTCCATCCGAGCAGCGTGAAGGGTCTCCACTGCACAGCAGACAGATTTCTGTTATGTTCTTCTCTAATTAAATGCAGTTTTATGTTTCTCTTCATTTTCCATCGAAGCTTAAAGGGACTTCACAGAGTTTTGAATTTTTATGCTCGCAATTGCCCCCTCAGGCCAAAAGCGTAACGGCAGCTTCAATAGTAGGCTAGTGCTGTACGTGCACACTCCTTAACGAAAATAACAGCTGAGATAGTCCCGTGTGTGTGTGTGTGTGTGTGTGTGGCCCGGAGGACAGAGGACAGGAGAACGCACAGCTAATTAATTAAATAATTTGGTTCTGTACCTTTCTCTTCAGCACAGCCGACAATGGTTTATGATGGGTCAGTCCTCCTGCATGCTCAGATCATTCCCTTCCCTTGCTTGAAAAATTGTTCCAAAATGAAAGTTGAACCCACATCTTTTTTATCTGTGAATTCAATGCCGTTCGGCGAGTCTCAAATAAAAATGCCAGGGCTCATTCTACAGGACCAGGGCATTGCAGGAGAAATGTATGAAGAAGAAATTTATTATTTCTATACATGTTTTGGCTGTCAAACTTCCATAATGTCCCTTTAAAGACCAATTTATGTTCAATTGGTACTTGTTACCAGCTCAGTGGTCTAGTGGTATAAGTGCCTGGCCTGAGATCGGGAGATCGTGGGTTCAAATCCACGATTGGATCACACCAAAGACTTTTAAAATGGGACCCAATACTCCCCACTTGACACTCAGCTTTGAGGGGTCAGAATGAGGGGTTAAACCACCAAATGGTTCCCGAGCGCAGCCGTGTCTGCAGCTCACCACTCCCCCAGGAGATGGGGCAAATACAGACAACAAATGTCACAGCAAACCAGCATTAGTCTGTATGTTTGACACTTGATGGCGCTGCAAACTCCGTTAGAGGTTTTGTTGCATTTCTGACACAGTGTCTAAATTGCGTCACCACACTTCATAATTTATGCTGTTTATTTGCAATTTGGTCACCAACCTCATCCTAAGCCATCTTTCAACTTTAGACTCACAAAAACACGCTCTTTTGCAAGGGAATCGAGAACTTTTGCAAATGTTTCGAGATATTATGGAAATTGTTTGCATTTCGCCTTGTTTTGCAGTTTGTTTGCAAACCCTTCCCTCAACTTTGGATTCACAGAAACTAATATGAGACAGGTTTAAAACAGGTTTGAGACTGGTTCGAGATAAGTTTCCTGATGTCTACAACAAAACAATCACTTTGAGAGGAACAATGATCCATGAATTATTTGATCAAATTTCAAAAACACAGAGTGTGGCCCTAACTCATGTTGCAAACATTTTGAGACATTTTGAAATGCACTTTGCAAATTGTGCCCAGGACAAAAGCATCTCGGAAGTGGATAAATATTTTGCTACCAGACTCACCAGATCCTTCAGACCGCCCATCGCTGCCTATGAGCGGCACCGTGATGGCTGCTGTGGCAACGCCGTCGGTTGGCATGGTGGTGTAGACAACAGGCAGCGACTGCACCACCACAGGTATAGTCTGCAGCTGGCCCACCTTGCTCGGCATGCTGACTGAGGGGATTGTATGGATGACGTGGAGGATCTGCTGGCCCCCGGCACCCTGTGTGGCCAAAATGGAGCCTGGTGAGAGGACCTGAAGGAGAACAAACCAGGGGTAATGGACTGTTTCTCTACTGTCTGACCTTTTTAGAAATGAGGCAAGAGGTGGTGGAAGTTAGTTACCATAGAGCCTATGGACTGTACCAAAGAGGGAACCGGCGTGGCTGAAAGGCCGGGCTGGGCCGTAGTGCTGCTGGGTGCGGGGTTGACCGTAGTGTTTGTTGTGGAAGAGGAGCGAGGCTTGTTGAGAGACAATTTTCTGGGGAGCTTAGCAGGTTTCCCAAAGCGCCCACCAACCTCCGTTAGCTTCAGTTAGCTCACTTAGCTCAGATAGCTTGTAGCTGCATCGACTCAGTTTGTTGGATGTCAATCATCTGCCCTCAGCCTCACAACCCTGCCTTCAGCTCCATTTTTATAGTTTTGGACGTGTGACATGGTCAAGATGGTGGTGATGGGACCTGCCCAATGGGCTTCAGTTCAGCTCTTCAGAAACCTACGAGTAACAGCTCTTCTTATGTATACAGTCTATGATCTGCACCTTGAAGCAACATGTAGGATTGTAGCTTTTGGCTCATGATGCAAAACCAAAGGGATGCGCAGGTTACTCAAACACATCAGGTTTAACAAACAATAAGCCTTTTGGATCTAAACATGTCTCAAAGTGTATTTCTGTAATGTGTTATATGAGACACTGGATGGTGCTACGCCCAACACACCTAACCTTTAACTTCCTAAGATCCAGCGTCCACATATGTGCAGCTAAGTGATGCCGGAAAGCAGTTTAGTAGTTTTTAATTACAAAAACTTCATGGGATTTCCACATGGTCCAAAAAATGTTCCCCAAAAATAAAGACTCAAAAGTCCCTCACTTGGTAGTAGAGGCGTCTAGAATGTGAAGTTTCTCACCAAATGAGCAGCTACAGGGTTCTTATGAACCCCGAAAGTCCTTGAAAATGCACAAAAAAATATTAAAATGAAAAGCGTGCAAAATTCCTGTTTAGTGTGTGTTTTCACCAAATGTTCTCTATGTGTTTAAGAGGAAACTGGCCTGTAGGTGCGTGCACGATCTGGACACGTGCTTTGACCAAAAGGTTGCAGTTTGGACGTGTGTTTGTGTGTCTAACTTTATGCAGCGTGCGCAAAGCTCCTGAGTGAGTGTGTGTGTGTGCTTGTGTGTGTGTGATAGAAAGAGGAAAAGAGGGGTGTGTAGGGAACCAGTGGCTGGCTTTGCGTCAGCAGGGTGTGATAACAGACAGCTTCTCTCTCTACTTGCTTATGTACCTGCCAGATGGAGACACACCCAGTCCCCCCCCCCCCCCCCCCTCTCTCTCTCTCTCTCTCTCTCACACACACACACACACACACACACACACACACACACACACACACACACACACACACACACACACACACACACACACACACTGTGTTCTTGTGTTTCCTCATACAAACATCTCAGAGAGCCACAAGGCAATAACGTGTGATTATGTGATGCTTCTTTTGTTCTCCATCAACAGGACTGTGGACACAAAGTCAATGGAAAAAGTCTAAGTTTAAATAAACAACACTTCTCCAGAGACGGGTCATGTTTGGCAGGATTCCAGTTAGCAGCATCTGTCGGCTATAAAAGAACCAATCAGCGAGGCGACAGAGCTCCACGAGAGATCAAATAATCAGAGCCATATCAGCAAAATGAAAAAAAAAAATTAAGTGAGGGAAAACAAACAGAAAAACTGGAGCCATTAATTCTCATCTCCAATAATTTATTAGTTGGTTCATTTGTTTCCTTTAATGCAGACAGATGCAAAGTTTTTATAAAATCTATTGTGGAGATTATTTCAAGTCACATTTCTACCTACCTACCTACCTACCTACCTACCCACCTACCTACCTACCTACCTACCTCCCTACCTCCCTCCCTCCCTACCTACCTACCTACCTACCTACCTACCTACCTACCTACCTACCTCCCTCCCTCCCTCCCTCCCTCCCTCCCTCCCTCCCACTGATCGATCGATCGATCGCACTGACCATTGTGTTTCAAGTGTTGGTTCAAAGACAATAAAAGCATGATTTCAACTTTAAACCGCAGCACAAGACTGAAGCTACAGAGTGATTTAGTTTGGGTTTTAAGTAGATGGCCATGTTGTAGCCGGTACAGGTAACAACAGACACCTGAGCTGAGGTGTTTATCACTGCATCCAATTAAAACAGGAGACAGCATTCTTCTCACAGATAAGCCCACGTCCTTACGAGGACAAACTTGTTGGTACCCTTTGGTCAATGAAAGAAAAACCCACAATAGTCAGAAATAACTTGAATCTTTACAAAAGTAATAATACATAAAATTCCATGAAATTTTACCAGTGAAAGTCAGAGACATTGGTTTTCAACCATGCTGCAGCAGAATTATTTAAAAAAATAAACTCATGGAACAGGCCTGGACAAAAATAATGGTAGTCAATCACCGCAGTTGAATGATTCCTGTAACGGTCGATGAGACTTCTGCAGCTCTCAGCAGGTATTTTGGCCCACTCCTCATACACAAACTGCTCTAGTTGTCTCGGGTTTGAAGAGCGCCTTTTCCAGACGACATGTTTCAGCTACTTCCAAAGATGCTCAGTAGGATTAAGGTCAGGGCTCATAGAAGGCCACTTTAGAATAGTCCGATGTTTTCCTCTTAGCCATTCTTGGGCATTGTTAGCTGTGTGTTGTGGGTCGTTGTCCTGTTGCAAGACACATGACCAGCGACTGAGGCCAAGCTTTCTGACAATGGCCAGCACACTTCTCTCTAGAATCCCTTGATAGTCTTGAGATTTCATTGTACCCTAAAGAGATTCCAGACACCCTGTGGCAGATGCAGCAAAGCAGCCCAGAACATGACAGAGCCCCCTCCGTGTTTCATAGAAGTTACAGTGTTCTTTTCTTTATATGCTTCATTTTACTGTCTGTGAACATAGAGTTGATGTTCCATCTTTGTCTCATCTGTCCAGAGGACATTCTCCCAGAAGCTTTGTGGTTTGTCAGCATGTAGTTTGTTATTCCAGTCTGGCTTTTTTATGATTTGTTTTCAACAATGGCGTTCTCCTCGGTCGTCTCCCATGTAGTCCACTTTGGCTCAAACAACAACAACGGATGGTGCGAGCTGACTCTGATGTTCCTTGAGCTCAAAGTTCACGTTGGATCTCTTTAGAAGGTTTTCTGGACAATTTTGTTTCCATTTGGATTATCCATCCCTTTTATTTATCAATTTTCCTCCTGCGGCCACGTCCAGGAAGAACAGCTGCAGTCCCGTGGATCTGAAATTTCTGAATGATACACACAACTGTAGTCACAGGAACAGCTGCTTGGAGATAGTCTCATAGCCTTTAACATGCTTGTCAATACATTTCTTTCTAATCTCCTGAGACAACTCTTATTTGCTTCCTGTGGTCCGTGTTGAGTGTGGTACACACCACGTCACCAAACAACACAGTGACTACCTGCAGCCCTTTATTTAGGCCCACTGATTACAAGATTGTAGACAGTCATTATTACTTTTGTCAGATTCAAGTTATTTCTTTGACTATTGTGGGATCGAAGGGTACCAACAATTCTGTCCACGCCGTATTCATAATTGACCTCAAAAGTAAGAAGAATATTTGTTAATTAAATTTGAGGCTTTCTAGGTTTGTTTTAGATTACTTCTCTGGAGCATACAGTTGTGTGTTAACAGCACTTTGAGAAGCAACAGCTGCTCCGTCAGTCTGGGAAGGGTTAAAGGTAACAACGTTTACAAATGAAGAACAGTTATTCTCTAGAGGAGAATACTGAAGAGAGCAGCCAGTTTTCATTTCTTGACGTTATTTTAGCGCTACTTCCTGTTAGCCGACTGTCAGGTCCAACATGTCTGCTTGTGAACCGGTGCTGCTGAATCCCTCAGTGTCTTAGACCTTGTTTTTGTCAGACTGGCAAATTTTCCTCTGAGCCTTTTGTCCCCTCCATCTAAGTTATCGAGGAACACGGAAGACGGTTCCGCATTTAGGAACATCAAATGGTGAAACGCTCCCACTCGTGGGGAACTAACCTGCTCTTTAAAGTACTGAAGCAGTCGTTTTCATCCTCTGCTGTTATGCTGTTGCCTAGCTGAGGAGATGTTCTTGAAATTTTCTGAAAGTAACTTTTGGAGTAAATTCAAGATGGAAGAACAAAAATGGCAACAACTTGTTTGATTTTAAGGATATTGAGCTAAAATGTAAGCAGTCTTCAGATGATAGATTGTGTTCTACGTACTAAAAAAAGCAATAAACAAGCAGCTCCGTGATCCAATCCTGTTTTTTCTACCTGCAATCAAAAATCAAACCTATGTTGTCGAGAGTTCACCTGGAGCGGGTACTCCATGCATTTGTAATCTCTAGATTAGATTATTGTAATTCTCTTTATGCTGGGCTTGGTCAGCCATCACTGCGTCATCTTCAGATTGCACAGAACAGCGCCACCAGGTTTCTGACTGGGGCCAGGAAGTGGGATCACATCAGCCCTGTGCTGGCCTCCCTACACTGGCTTCCTGTTTTTTTATCAGGCGCATTTTAAACTCCTGGTTTTTGTATTTAATTAATTTCAGCGAGACGCCACTCCTTAGCGGCGCTCCTGAAGAGACATTTGCCTTAACTCACCGGGCTAGCTCCACTCCTCTAGATGTTATTCAAATCTCAGGGTCGTCGTCGTCGTCGTCGTCGTCTTCCTCCGCTTATCCGGGTCCGGGTCGCGGGGGCAGCATCCCAACTAGGGAGCTCCAGGCCGTCCTCTCCCCGGCCTTGTCCACCAGCTCCTCCGGCAGGACCCCAAGGCGTTCCCGGACCAGATTGGAGATGTAACCTCTCCAACGTGTCCTGGGTCGACCCAGGGGCCTTCTGCCGGCAGGACATGCCCGAAACACCTCCCCGGGGAGGCGTCCAGGAGGCATCCTGACCAGATGCCCAAACCACCTCAACTGGCTCCTTTCAATCCGGAGGAGCAGCGGTTCTACTCCGAGTCCCTCCCGAATGTCCGAGCTCCTCACCCTATCTCTAAGGCTGAGCCCGGCCACCCTACGGAGGAAACTCATTTCGGCCGCTTGTATCCGCGATCTCGTTCTTTCGGTCATTACCCAAAGCTCATGACCATAGGTGAGGATTGGGACGGAGATCGACCGGTAAATCGAGAGCCTGGCTTTCTGGCTCAGCTCCCTCTTCCCCACGACAGATCGGCTCAGCGTCCGCATCACTGCAGACGCCGAACCAATCTGCCTGTCGATCTCCCGATCCCTCCTACCCTCACTCGTGAACAAGACCCCGAGATACTTAAACTCCTCCACTTGAGGTAGGACCTCTCCCCCGACCCGGAGGTGGCAAGCCACCCTTTTCCGGTCGAGAACCATGGTCTCAGATTTGGAGGTGCTGATCCTCATCCCAGCCGCTTCACATTCGGCCACGAACCTACCCAGCAAGAGCTGAAGGTCAGAGCTGGATGAAGCTAGGAGGACCACATCATCCGCAAAAAGCAGAGACGAGATTCTCCTGCCACCAAACTCGACACACTCCACACCGCGGCTGCGTCTAGAAATTCTTTCCATAAAAGTGATGAACAGAACCGGTGACAAAGGGCAGCCCTGGCGGAGTCCAACCCTCACTGGGAACAGGTCCGA